CAGCTCCATCTCTGTTGCTGGCCTGATACTTATTCCTTTGGGCTCCAAATATGCCACACATCCATGATTTTTATCAGAATAGGCAAGGACAAGATTGTCCACATTAGGCACATTTTTTACCTTAAGTCTCTCATAGATATTTTTGAGTTTTCTGATACGTGTTGCACAGTTTGGTCCAGTATATGTCTTTTTCACATTTGTTCCACACACTTCAATTATTTTATCATCTCTGTTGTAGTAAAGAAAATCTTGTTAATCAATTCAAAAACACTTTGATGATCACCATAATTTACCTCTCTATTGGGATGAATTCAGGCAATTCACGATATCCAATTACTTTTTGGACTTGTTCAATGATAGGACATAGATTGATAAGCACCAGCAAGTTCTTAACTCGTTGCCGTCTCTCTCTTAGGTCAAGTGTCAAAATGGTAACCACATCTGGCTTATTCCTCCTGGGCCGAGGTCGGCATATAGCAGCATATGTCAGTATGGTTCCAATGGCATAATACCCTAAAGTAGCACAACACATATTTAGTAATTGGGGCATTTTATCCTGCATATTAATATTGCTGATGGAGACTCTTACCAATGACATATGGTACTGGATCATATGTCCAATCAATCTTATTTACCAGCTCAGCTCTTGGATTTTCAGGATTATTTGGAGCCTTCTCCTCACCTCGGAAGGGACAAACAGTATTGATAATAAAGCCAAAATCAGGCCGCTTCCCAGAAGTACTCATGTGCTGAGAAGAATTTCGGATGGTGATACCAGTGGGAAAGTAGGCTTCAATAAACTTGCGAATATTTGCATCCCAAAATGAGACAAAGTTGTACTCTGTCATCACATTTGAAGGTGGGTTGCCAATTATGGCTGCACTCAGCACATTGTAAGAGAGGGCAATGGCAGTATTGCTATCACTAACTTGGAATATTGTTTGAAGGTCATCATGTAAGCATGGATTTTGGTAGTCATTGCTGAGGAAAGTATTGAACTCATGCTGCAGAATGGGTATCTTCAGCTCTTGGGGAAGAGGTTGCGTAATGATCCCATGGAGTTCACTGGCATCTGGAAGCTGGATGCTTGACCTTTTTCTTAGAGCTTCTACAACATGGTTGCTGGCATCCTTAACTATATATCACAGGAAATAAGATTTATCTTAATCTTAAGCAACAGCAGTACTTTACACATAACATACCCTCTTCATACTTCCGTTTTTCCCCTGACACTAAAAAGGATGAGAAATCAAGACTAGTCAGTCAATTTTGATGACAAGGCATGTTGAAGGATAGTAAAGGAAATGATAAAATGGCAGTTGTTAGTAGCAATTACAACATCGTTACCTGTTGCCGGCTCCGGGAGAAGACCCCGCAGAAAACGAACCTTGGCAGCATCGTCCTTGCATTCGGGCAGAGCAGCGATTGCTTCTTCTTTTACACCAGGGTTCTTGGCAAAATAAACGAAGAGTCCGTCTTTTTTGTCTTGCTCAAGATCGTCAAGACGTGCAATTTCCGCGTACAAGTTCATAACGAAGCACAAACTTTTTTTGCGTGCAATGTACTAATCAATGACGTATTATTAGTAACTTTCTAGAACGTGACCAATGATAATTGATGCGCAGAAATTCGCGCATGTTGATTACTATTACGCATTAATCGTGACTCAAGAAAGGTATAAAATTGAGCTATTTACAAAAAAGCTTTGCGAACTATTTTTACAAAATCTATCCAACAGACTTTATCATTTTAAAATGTTTGTTCTCACAAGCGAAATTTATTCTTGGATTATTGATCGGAATTCTCCTTGGATCTTTCCTTTATTATAAAATTCACAAAGATCCAGCGTATTATAAATCAGAAAATTGATGAAGTAATCAATTTAATGGAGCCGAAGAAAAAATCTAAGACTACGTGCGTAGCAAACAAGTTGGCCAAACAAAATGCCTATTGAAATCAATGAATTACTCGGTAAAGGAAATGATCTAGCTTCCTCTACGATAAAAAACTATTACCTACGGAACAACTCCACGTAAAAAGACCATTGAGGCAATTCAACGTTGGATTAACGAAGAAAAGAAGGAAAATGTAAACCACTCAGATTGGGACAATGAAAATAAAGAAATAGACAATACTGATAATGTTATTAATCATAGCAATGGTAAAAAAGATACGAAAAGCAAATTTACACTAGAGTGACCAAAGAATAGGTTATACTCATCAATGGCTTTGGGCTACAAAATCAAGTTGTTGTTACATTGTTACAATTTGTATCAAATTAGCGAAATGTAAATGAATGTGCTCAAACAATTCTTTATCAACAAGTCAAAAACTATAAGGAACATTAAACTGTTTTCCCTTACCTGTCTCAAGTTTTTTTTTTTTTTTTTTCTTGGTTCATCATTAATGTTACGGTCGGGAATTAAATGGGAGATTTGGGAGAGCGATCTATCTTTTACGTAGGTGTGTTCGCCGACTGGGGGATGTTACCAGGCTTAGTGTTAGCTCGTACTATCGCCTTTACTACGATAGCTGTACAGTTAAGACTGAACTTAAGCCTCATGTGACCTATTTTAATTATGCGCGCTTCTCACTCTCTATCCGAGTTTCAAACACTCGTGAATACAAATAAGGGTACCTCTAATAGGATAATAACAACAATTATTCTATTAAAAAATCAAAGGGGAATAATACTATTTTAAATTTAAACAGGGCTATCTTCGATTTGTGTTTCGACTAGTCGGTATCCGTCACTTGTCTTTCTAAACCAATTAAACAATAATCGTCTCGATAATTAATTATGAACTCTCGTTCCGTTATTCACGTAATTGATCCACGGACAGCTTACTAGCTTGATCAAATCAATGCCATTCCGTTACAGCTTAAATGAGCCGTTTATTGGAGTGTCCGGCCTAATAATTAATTATTTCGACGACGATATAAAGGGTTTTGGGAGAATACTACAAAGATCAGTAGTATTATTTTATTTCACAACATGAAGATTTGGCGATGAATATGGGACAAAAAAAAACCGGAATTATGCAATGGTGCAAATAAGGTGACACATATATATTTGAAAGCTGAAAACCAGCAAATCTTATTAAAAAAAATTAGTACGGAATGTGTTCACCGCTGCTTTCTATGACGGCGTTTCGGAATATCATCCCATAAAACGCCGCAAATCGCTAATATTTTTTGGCGTTTTCTTTTCTACATTTCTTTCAACAATACTCCAGAGATTCTCTATTGGATTTAGGTCAGGACCAGTATATTACCTCAAGCATGTTATCCCAAAGAAAGTTTTTGTGAAGCGAATAGTATGTTGTCTTGTTGAAAACGCCATTCGTCTCCTAACAAGTCATCAAGCTGTCTTCTACATAAAATTGTTGACCATTGTTTCGGAAAAAAACAGTATAAAATCATCTTATCTCTTATGCAGAAGCAAAGAGCTTTGTTGGACCCTTTAGGGTTAGGGTTAACTGTTCGCATTTATGAATCTCCACATTATCCTGAATGCCTTGATTCCACAATTGTTGTATAGCTTGGCGATTTGTCTCTTGTCTGGAGTCATTGTTCTAATTGATGAAGGAATTTAAGAAATAGGATTAGTGCAAAATTAGCAGTTCAAAATGAAAAAAAATTCTTCATTTTACAATTTACATTGTCTGAGATTACGATTGAATGTTACAGCAAAAATTTTTTGTCCCACACTGTATATATTTCAATTATAGTATTTGTGCTATTGCGCAACATTTTCCTAATGTGACGTGACGCCATTGCGGATTTTTCGAAACGTTTTTGCTATTGCTGCGCCTGTTGCGGAATACGCCGTTAATTTAACTTTTGTCGATCATGGGTTTGCTGACTACGTAGGAAGATTTTACCATGTGACTTATTTATCTGATTCATCTTTCTTTTTCTTCCGACTGTATCCGTTTTCTTCCTCATCCGCTTGCCGTAATAGTATAAACAAACACTTGCAAATGTGGGAAAGGGGTAAAAATGGCAAAACACGCGTAATGAACATGACTCAATTGTACCAGTCACTTGTACTGTGGGTCATGCTCAGTAGATCGCTTTTGACAACTTGACGTTTTTTTACATGTACAGTATATAATGCAATTTGTATTTAAACCTACTCTATTACACCTCGCTTTGCCGTTATCACACTCTATTATCATACTCTACTCGGAAATTCGTCCAATTGGTGCTATCATAATCATTTCTACCACTTTTTCGGAAAAAACAGTGCTCAAGCGAATTTATCAATGTCATATGGCATACCATTACTCATCTTTAACATGACAGTCGGAATATTTAATATGTGCCAGGCCCTTATCAGTATTTACAAAATTTTCAGACGGACGCCTGCGTCGACTGATGTTGGTCAGAGAAATGGAGAGACAACAACGGCCACATCAAATGAAAATGTACAGAATGTTGATAATAGAAATGACATTACAATATCTATTGATACTATGGACGAGACGTATGTATTGGCTAGCAAAAGTTCTAAAATATACTCAAATTCCTGCCAAATTAACCATGCCATGTATGTACAATAGGTTGTTGATCTCGCTCCAATAAGTACAACTTTATTGCGTGTTGATCTCACTCCACCTTGTTTTGTTAAACTTGAATTTTAATTACAGTTTTGAAAGCGTCCCTTAAAAGGATTTGGACGCAGTAGGAATTCAAGATCCGTTTCGTTCGACTGTTTTAAGTTTATCAATAAGCTTAAGATATAATTATATTACTATATTATACTATATTTATAATTGCTTTCTAGAACTTTCCTATAGAGAATGTTGTCATTAAACATAATCGTTCAAGACTTTCAGATGGCAATTACTGTGGCACATACGGTCCAAAGGATTGAAGTTATGAATTCTAAAACTATATATAACATACTATGCAATCCCAAAATCCTACACATTTCAACGTCAAAAGATTTGTATGAATTCCAAGGCCATCTGTAGCAGATACTTTTGGATTTATGATACTTCTTGGACCTTGAATGCTTTTGCTAACAGTTAGCATTTATATCATTATATTATAAAATACGTACTGAGCATCGGGATTAAATCAACGGCGGTTGAGAATAGCTACAGTTACTTCGGATTTCAGTTTCGGACAAGTCATGCTCTAACTGAAATGGGCTTGGCTTCAGAAGTCTCGGGCCATAAAAAGTTTTTGATGAAGTCATAAATCCGCAAAAACATCCACAACGTATGCGGGTTTAATGATGATAATAATTTTGTTGGAGGGTGTCCAGAATGGCTTCAATAATCGTTTAGTAAAATGTGCGACTGAACACCAAACATTTGTTCTAGTTGGCGATATCCCAGAGGATTTGCCAGTCGTTGAATCACAATGCCAACTCGAAAGGGTGTGATAAATAGTTAGGATGCTGCTGTAGGATACTAAGCAGTCGATTGAACGTAGATCGCAAAATGCGAAAATGAGATTTAAAACTATTATTCTCGTCATTAAGATATGGAAATACGTCTGTCCAATAGTAAAATTGTAGTTGTCTCATAGCTATCTCTGTCTGTGTATAAATGTTGCTCACCAAGTTTTTACAAGATATTT